GGGGGGGGGGCGCTGCGTGTTTGAGAGGGGAGTGCCGGGAGGGGGGTGGAACTCACGGAGAGGACACGACACGGCGACGCCTTGGTACTCGGGAATGAAAATGTATCACTTGCAGGCGGAGCTCCGCTAGCAGGGCAGGACCCTGGCGGGCCGGGTGGAGAGGGGCGGGTTGTCACCCCGCCCGACGTATATCACTGGAGCTGGAGCAGCAGCCGCGAGGGAACGTGTTAGCCAGGGGCTGTGTACGTGGGGGGTGGGCGACTTGTCACGACCTCGTCGCGGGCTTGTCACGGGGTTGTCGCGGACTTGTCACACGGACTGGGCATGGTGGTGCCCGTCACACACCGGCTCGATGTGGACTCGTCACGGCGCTGACAGGGGACTCGTCACGCAGACCCTCTGGCAGCGCGCGGCGGCGGCGGTGGTTCACACGCAGTGTCGCTACAGCCGATCGATGTGCGGACAGCAGTGTGGCATAATGGCCCTGATTGAGCTCGGTGTCGAGGGATAGGCTGGGAGGAGGAGGAGGAGGAGGGCTGCTGCACGGCCGCAAGCCCGATAAGCACGCTGGCTGTTTTGCAGGGCTGTGGCGTGCCGTCATGCTCACTGAGGGAGTGTAGACGAGCAGAGAGAGAGACGGGGGGAGATAGAAAGAGAGGAGAGAGGGGATTACACTACACTACTTTCTCGCGCCGTCACAGCAGCAGCAGCCTGGCTGCCGGCCGCCCGTCCCTGACGACACCGTCGTCGGGTCGACGCCGTCATGAAAATGCAGTTAGCGGCCCCGCCCGCCTGGCCAGCGAATAATATGTAATCGGACGGGGGGGGGGAGGAAGGGGCTCTAGTGCTGCTGTTTTTATATATATTCTTTTGGCCGAAAGCCTTCTTTTATCACTTTTCTTTTAATGCTCCATTTTAGTTTTACTACAAAGTCCCCGCTCGGTCGGTCGACGTCGTTTCGTGCCGTACTATACTGCGTCGGTGTTCGAACGGCCCCGGCGCGCCCGCCCCCTCTGGCCGCCCCCGGTCGCCCCTGGCCCCACCGGCGGGAGGTCGTAACAGTGTCAGCCTGACGATGTGCTGGCGCTTTCGCCCTCGAGTCCGAGAAGACCGGGGGGCACGCGGGGAATGGAGGGGGGAGGGTGTCGTGCGGAGGAGGTCGTGCCACCGCGCCGCGCCGTGCCTCTTGTCCGTCGTGACACACCTGGCCTACGGAGCCTGCGCTGGAGCCTGGGCTGCAGCTGGAGCTGGAGGGTGGGTGGCTATGGAGGAGAAAGAGTCGGAGAGAATGATGCACCGCACGAGTGTGCCTGTCCTGTGCCCCCCCCCCCTCCTACCACGCTTTGGAAGTACGCAAAGCAGCGGTCATCACGATCTGCGATCTCGTTGTGACTGTGTTTTCTCGAAGAAATAGTTCTCTATTTTTACCCCAGTCTGCACCTAAGAAATTGTATTAATGAGTTTTGAACCTTAAGCACGCTGTGTTAGTGGAACCAGCACAAAGTGCTTGAAGTTGACCAAGTCAATAACTACCTTTGTTGTTTTTTGAGTGCATTAGCTCGGCAAATTTAATCCGCAAACATTTTCCTCTCTCTCTTTATTTGTTGAGTAACTTTTATTTGTTATTTGTTGAGTAATTTTCGCGTGGCATTACCTTTATGGTCAGCAGGGCGTTGTGCGATACGGCACGGCATTGCATCGCGCTTTCACCGAGGCGTAATGCCTCATCACTGCAGCACCAGCAGCCAAATGAAAGTGAAACGCTCTGCTCCGCTCAGTAGTGCAAAGAGCGGGCCCCCCTTGCGGCCCCCCGGGACCGGACCCGTACCTCGCTGATCAACACGCCCTCCAACAACCCTCCAATTACCTTAAGCGGATTCCGCGACCCCCTTCCACCCACC